GGGGAAAAACGTGATTCCAAATCAGTGTTGCATATGGACTCCGGGACAATTTTATATTGATTAATATTAGACAATAAGTATTGCAGAGGGTGTAAAGAACTAATTGTATTGATGTTACAGAGTAATGATTTGTTTGTTACTACTGAAAGCAAAGGTTAGATTCATTACGCACAAACTTGTCTTTAGTTTACAAACTGCAAACAGTTAAAATCACTATCCATGTGATATTACTAGGTAAATGTTTTTAGCGCTGTAAACATTACATACTCCGTGAGAAAACGTTCTTTGAAATAGTTGTTTCTGTTGCACATATTGAGTCGATTTTTTATTCGAGAGGTTTTAAGTGGCGAGGTCAACTAATTCTAGATTAATTTAGGTACAGCAGTTGAGCCATAAGGTATTTTGGGCGTAATCCACACCAAACTACGCAGTACTAGGAACTAAAGGTTGTGTTATGTTTCTTGTGTCAGACACAGAATATTAAGGAATTAAGGTAAACCAGATGATACGGTTGTGAATCTTCATCGATTGAGATGTCAGGCCCACGTATTACGCATGTCGAACTACCACGACGCGCAATGCTGGCTGATGTTGGAGACGGTTGGAAGAAAGTTAGGGGCGGCCAAACCAAAACGTAGCATCAGTCCATGAAGTCACTAACTTCTGGTTTGAGCCATGTTGATAAATGCAGACTACTTGGTTGCGGTCCCCACGACTGTCGTAAGCAGTGCTTGGAGACTCTAGATGACATTGCTCAGGATGGATTACAATGGCGTAGGTGTATATACTCTTTGGTTTCCCTTCAACTGTGGGATTAAAACTACTACGTACCTTTCTTTTTACGAACTAATCCTTATGTGCAATCTTTTTTTATATATTATTACCATTAAAGTAACTGCCTTTACGAATTCGGTGTTTGTTTTGTTGTACTAATGGGGTATGACTACTTGGACAGATGCATATATGTTCCTGATCCTGCGTTGTAGCTGACTGATCTACTAACTTGTGTTTGAACAGATACCTGGAATGACTTTTATAGTGGTGAGATGGCTCATAATTGATATGTATCATACCAGAGTTAGAAATAATTAGGTAATGCGGATCTGAGATAATCTATACGACAAACCACCTGTGTAAGTCATACATAATAGTAGCCCATGTGAAATATAAAGCAGTGTATTCAAGCTCCTAATTCATCACATTAATTCTAAACTTTCTTTTAGACCTAAAAAGAGGTTGAGTTTTCACATGGTTAGGTTAGTATCGCTTGAAAGCTGTCCATAAAATAGTCTGGTAATAATTTCTCCTAAAACTAAACACTGTCTTCTGAATGGCTAGGGTTTTTATGTGCTGTCATGATTTTGTTCTGATTTTTATTTGCGAAGATTTGGTTCCTCGGTTAACGAAACCATCCATCTCCAGTTTCCCAAAGGTTCTGGTAGAAATGGCATTTCTCAGCTTTCAGGGAATTAGCATTGGTAAAACTATGATAGAGACGTTAGCCCCAAATACCCTGGTACGGCCGAGAGTGCGGAGAGTAAGCTCTCACTCTCAAGATTTCATTTATTTAAACACATAAACATTAGTGCAAGAAGGCACCAAATAAATATGCGCTACATAAATCATTCGATTCGTGTAAGGGCTAGAATACTGCCCGGGTGCTCAAACCGAAGCAGGTGGTTTCCTTAGGGTGCAACACTCCGAGCCTTCGACCTAAAAATCTAATCCACAAGGCAGTGAAGCAACGTAAGGAGATGCAGTCCTATGGTAGCCGGTGACCAACGATAGGTCCATACGCCATTTACTTTTTGGAGCTCATGTGCACCACTGGTTTGGAATCAGGATTTTACAACTGTAGATGGGTCCTCCGAATCCAACAACCCAATTAAAGCACGGGACATTCGCTTTTCATCCTATCAATTTCGTAAACAAAACCCCCGCCACGAGAAGGCGGTGAGTGGGACTTCCCTGGCAGTGGTTGTAAGCACGTGACATGATTAATGATTGGAAAGACCTATAATTCGGGATCAGAAGCAGAGATATATTATATTGTTTAGATTGGGAACTATGCCTAGAGTTTTCATCATTCAGTAACACCAATTACAATGCAAGAATAAATTGTAGCAGTATGGATAAATTAATTTAGCGTGCAAATTCAAGAGGTGTTATTTTAATTCGAAGGTTTCAGCTAAACAGTCCTACTGTGTTAGGTTTACAAGAATTTGGAAGTAGAGGTTAGAGTGGGTGAATTTCTTTTAGCCACACAAACACGATTGACTGTGCTTAGAATCACACAAACTACGCTTAACGTGTAATCCGTTTCCAAAGTGGTACATATAAGCATTTTTTCACTTAGCCCCAATGAAGTCATGGGCCATGCTAAAATGTGAACCTCACGTGAAGTTCCGTTAACACTATCTCAGATCTGACCGTTTCGCTGAAAGTCTTAGCAACTCTTGTCTGAGTGTATGAATGTTTTGCTATTGTGAACAGCTCTTCGAGCTCGCAGTAACGGAGTTTTCTGACAATTTTCAGTGTTCTACATTGAAGGAAACTACTGAAATTCACGTAAGGATACAAGACCTATTATATTGAATCTGACTGATCTTTTTATAATTTATAGCCCCTTTGGACCCTGACTAATTTAAGCCATTAAGGAGAAAATTAGATTTGAGTGAACTAGTCAGAATAGGAAATGAATGATTTACTAGATGTTGTAATTTTACTTTTTAAACGAACTTATCTAGATTTGCTCTGAGCTTCTAATCATTAGAGTTCGGGGTTAGGATCGGAGTCTAGCCATAGAAGCTAATGTTAGTTTGTGTGTCATAATCCGAACCCTAGTTCCAAATTAGTTTGAATGCTTACCTGAATACTACTCATAACTTGATTCAGCAAAGTGGAACCGTGAGTGTGCGTCAAGAACGAACATGCAGACAACTGCAGGGTCACATAAAATTGCTCAACGTAGATAACCAGTTCTCACTACTCAAGCACCATTAGATACTTATGCCTAAGATTAAAATTTATGACTAGCATCTATAGCTATAATGCTATAGCATTGTGGTTTCGGACTAAGACGGAGATTTTATAATTTTGGCTAAAAGAAATAGTTTTTCAGACAGTTTAGTTACGAGCTTAAGGTTCAAGATTACGTTTTAAAGTTACAGTCAGGGTTAAGTTTTACGATCAATCTACTAAATTCCAACTGCTATCTCAACATTAACCCCAAATCCTTAGCATCACATCTTTGTCCTAATCCTTAAGTCTTAGTCTATATCATTTCACTAATTTTGGTTGGCAGAATTTTTTGAAACTTATCCATAGACTGGTTTTCATGTTTCAGCCCTAACCGAAATTACGACAAAATCTCATACTAATTTGTTTCTCGTACTCGCACAGTCATTACGCCCCCGCATTCACAAAAGAATGCCTTTTTCAGTAGTTCAAGGCCTTGTAACAACTAAATGATGTCCCACCATTAGAATTAACCAATATATAACCGATGGTCAAAATGTTTGTAAGATATCCGGATCGTGGTAGAACTTTCAAGATAAGTGGTCGATACACGCCTAACTTGCTATTATTTCAGGCGTTAACACAGACCAGTATCTTTCATTCGGACAGAGGAGAATGCATTCAAAATATTTTTGCACAATGCGATCAGGTGACTGCATCTTCACTTGCGTATTTGAAGTCATTAATTAAATCTGTTGGTAGGACATCAGATCCTGAAAACTCCGAAAATCTTTTAGAAATACGGTTCTCACCTATGACGAAGTTAAATAAATATGGGGAAAGCAGAAAACCGTGAAGAACATTATACCAGGTTAACGGCTTTCTGTAAGCTGTGATTCGGTTAGTGATGTTTTGGGATAGTCTGTACAGGTTAATGTACTTTGTCACGTCATTCAATCGCGGATAGTGCCGTTAAACCTTTCGATCTACAGAGCTGAAAACTGCCTTAAGATCGAGAAATACAACGTCTGGGACCCAGTAGTTATTTCTTCGCGAGAGGCGATGATGACCTTACGTCCAGGTCTGGGTGCGCTCCACACGAGCCCAAGCAAAGCGTTGAAGGATTATTAAAGCCACTATTCTACACAGCATCGGTAGCCCCGAACTGACATGTTCTCATAGGTCCTTCACCAAGGTCCTATGAAACAACTTGGCGTAGCTTGATCAGTGATTTCGATACGTTGAGATGCTTTCTATTGGCAGGTAGGTTTACAGATTGCAACGAAGTTTTTTTTACCGAATGTCAAAATGTGAATTTTCACTATATTGAAACTTGTATAAGATTATGAACTGGTTAGAACTAGATAATCTTTGAAGACTGAGATGTACTTTACAGTCGAGTTACCTTTGTTTTAAATTAAACATTCAGTTGAACTCAGAGTATCAAGGTTTTACGGCAAGCATAAGACGAAATGGCCGTCCAATGTTTTCATGTTTACAATGATTGGTTCATGATTTTAATGAAATTCAACAATCTTCACAACCCCGAAAAGCCCAATACAATTGAGCCTTTGAATCGTAAACCATTGTCCTACCATTTCGACCTTAGTTTTGATGGAATAATGCAATCCACACTAAAAATGTTTGCGACTTACCGTCGAGCTCGATTCGATCGAAATAGTGTTTGTGAAAACAAAGAGGCCATAAGTGTGTTAGTAGTTGGATTTTAAGCATCAACGGAAGCTTAATAAAAACATCCTTAGCAGATAATCACAATCGGATTTTATGCCAAAGTAATTTTATTTCGTTGTCTAGATATTTCCTAAACATTTCATACATCTAAGGACGTAGTAATTAATATAATAAATAGATTCCAAATGATTGAAACGTGAATAATTATCAAGTACCCCTAATATTTCTTTCGATTTTTTTATTATGGCGTGAAAGTACGAACTTGTTAATCCACACGCATGTGGTATTGTTTTTTCGAAGTTTTATGAGAATAATACCTATGTAGACTTAACATTTAAAAGTAGAATCCGTCAATGGAAAATCATCTATTATTTTCTTTTGAAATGACCATACAAAGCCAGGAAATATTTTTTGTCATAACGAAGAAAACACACAAAATGTCCTTGTAAGGTTGGAAATATTACCGACTGCCGAGGCTTTGTTTGATTTTTAACTGCACTTGTGATCCGTTATCAGTGGTTTTGTCAGAAGAACATTTTTTTTCGTGATTTGATGTAAACTTGGTCGGGTCAGAAATAAATGTAACAGGAGGAGCCTTCTGACCAGATTTTTGCCAAGCTTTTGCATCTATTCGTTCTCTTGAATCCAACTCCGCTAACAAGCGTGAATTAGTTAACGCTTTAGGAAATAAAATAAATTTTAACGAAAATTACTATGGCACTAAGAAATACTGTGTATACACAGGGAAATATTTACAATCGACTGTGAACAAGACAAAAAAAGAATAATATGCCCATATTCCTAACACTCAATAATCAGTAAAATGTAGCACCTAAAGACCTTATTGACAAGAATTGAACAAAGAGTATAAATTTTATTCGCAAACAAATGAAGCAATTTATGTGTCGCGGTAGCAAAATTATTCAGAAAAAAGTTCAAAGGAAAGCTTTATTCATCAATGTGTAAGACAAGTAGTAGTGACTCATTCAAACTAAGATCTAAAACCATGATAATCAAAAAACTTAAATATTTCCCCTTTCAATAACATTTGAAAATCATATGAAAAGGGAGGGCAGTAAATACATTTTAAGATCCATCCAGTTGACCTTATTTAGGTAATTCAATATATCGAACAAAAGTTTGGAAAACATGAATAAAGCAGTTGTTATACATAGGAAAAAAAGCCTAAAAATAAAATATAAGAAATGGCTATTGTTACACAATCTATTGATACTTATTTTTAATTCCAGAACGAAGGGTCGCAAAATCAACTTATACCTCATAAGACTTAAAGGAGTTGTTTTATTGAGTTTTTCTATTGATCCCCAGTATTTTCTAAAATTGTTTATCTATAACCTGATATGGGATTCAGAATACTTCGAGGAACTCATGAATAGACCAACTCCATTGAATTCACTGGACATCGAAGCAGCACATACAGACTTTCTCATAGATGTCGCTCCACCAACGACGGAAGAAATTAGGGTGTCCGTCAGACAAATCAAGAGAGAGAAAGCAGCAGGAACAGACAACGTACTAACAGAAGCAATGAAGTCAAAAGTTGAGGTGACTCCAGATATGCTCCGCATTCTATTCAGGAAGGCTTAAGAGGAAGAACAAATGCCTACGGACTGGAAAAAAGGACACCTCATCAAGATTCCAAAGAAAGATCTGAGCAAATGTGAGAACCATAGAAGCATCACACTACTGTCAGTACCATGGAAGGTTTACAACAGAGTTGCTGAACATGGACAGTTCGGAATCAATTGGAAGACTTGAACTTCGCAGATGACCTGGCCCTTCTATCCTATACACATCCACAGATGCAGATGAAGACAATCAGTGTGGCAGCAGACTCTGCATCCATAGCCTTCAACATACACAAGGATAAACCAAGATCCTCAAATACAACATGGAGCATAGCAACTAAATCACACTTGATGGAAAGCTCCGGAAGATGTAGAGTCCTTCATCTACCTGGGAAGCATCATCGATGAACAAGGAGGATCTGATGCAGATGTAAACGTGAGGATTGGAAAAGCAAGGGCCGAATTCCTACAACTGAAGAACATATGGAACTCAAAACAACCATCAACCAATATCAAAGTCAAAATCTTCACTATGAACGTCAAGAAAGTTGTAATGTATAGACCTGAAACTTGGAGATCTACCACAACCATCATCAAAGAGGTATAATCATTTATAAACAATTGTCTACGCAAGATACCCAATATCTGTTGGCCGAATACCATCAGCAACAGCCTACTGTGGGAGAGGACAAACCAGCTTACAGACGAGGAGGAAATTAGGAAAAGACGCTGGAAGTGGATAGGACACACACTGAGGAAATCACAAAACTGCATCATGAAGCAAGCGATAACTTGGAATCCTGAAGGGAATAGAAAAAGAAGGAAACTGAATATCACACTACGTCGGGAATCGGAAGCAGGCATGAAAAGAATGAATAGCAACTGGAAAGGATTGCCCAAGACAGAGCTGGATGGAGAGTGATGGTGGGCGGCCGATGCTCCTCAATGAGGGGTAGCAGGTGTGAGCAAGTAAATTGAACCTCCTTGTATCATTGTTTATGTGTGTAACTAAAAAATATGGCTACTTTCTAAATACGAAAATCGTGCGGATGACAACTGTGAGTAAAATATACATGATAAATAGCCTGTTTTTTAATTATTTTCGTACAGAAAAAAGAAACAAATTGTAGAATTTCCAAAAAACAGAATATTTCTCTTAGTTCGTTGAAAAATTTAGATCCTAGTACAAGCTAAATAAAAATTTTCATTACAGAAAACAGAAATAGTATAACATTTATAGGAATAACGCGCCCGAACATAATTAAAGCCATACTAACTTTCCAGTTTCCCAGAATTTATATAAATGTTTATACAACAATCAATATTCAGTAATGACAAGAGCAAAAATGAGTGGTTTGATATTACCAAACGGATAAAAATCACTTCAACCAACAAGAAATAATCGTACGTGGTTTGCGGATGTCTTTGAATTTTATAGTTAACATCACGAACTGTTCTTGGTTAAGCAACAATTAAAACCAGGATACACTGTGCAGCTGGATCGTTTTAGCATGGGACTCTTCCGCAGTCTATCCACAACCCAGTAAGGAACCAAACCCAGACATTCGAGTCTTGAGGCGAATCCTTAAATTCTAGACTACTGAGGTTGTATCCGATTATTCGTATATCTGATTTCGATAAATTCGAAATATTGTTCAATCATCTAATGTCATTCATGGGTAACTGCCTCACACGACATGGTTGAACTCCACTGGTCATTGCTTCTAACTAGAATTGAGGGGCTTGTCCATCAAAGTTATTTGCTAGTGAGTACGTGATTATTATAGTCAATGTGGGTTCTGGAAGGCAGTTACCCAATTAGGACATTTGAAGATAATTGCAAAATATCGTGAATTGATCGAAGTTAGAGGTGAAAACAGATGGATGCCACCTACGTAATCTACAAGTTAAATGCCCGATTTGAGATTTAAACGGCCAGTTTAAATCCCCGACAAGGTCGTTGATGCCCACTGCCGAGGAACCCTATACTTTGGTGAAAGAATAGGAAAGCAGCTAAATTACAACCAACAATGAATCTTGAGACAAACATTTTACATAAAAATATTAGTTACTCATTAGTAACATCGTTGAAATTCCGTAGGTTACATTTTAAAAGGGACTATACAAGTTACTCTAGGTTTAGTATCCCATTTGAAAAGATATGGTCAAGTTGTTCAGGGTCAAGAAATAGATTCGACTATTTAGACGGAAAATCATACACTTGTTTCCTATAGCAAAAAATTGATTACAATAAAAGAAAATTGTCAGTATAGGGTGGTGCAAATTGTTTACTTTAATTGATATCATAAACTATTCAACCTGGAAGCTGTCCAGTGTTTCCAGGTTATCAATATTGGTCTAACATTGATCGGCTCATGATCTCAATAAAAAAATTGTTTCAAATATTATGATAACACTTCGTATATCATTTATAAAGAATGAAATCGAGAGTGTGGGACAACAACCTAGTACACTGTGAATATTTACTAGAAATAAAATACGGAAAAGGTGGTAGAGAGGCATCCATTTAAAGAGAATTAAAATATAAAATGTGAAAAAAGGTTAAAATGATTAGTCACATCAAAAAAAATTATTAGTGAATATAATCCGAACACCAGTTCCTGAATTATATAATTAGTTTGAATTTATCAATAAATATCGTTTTACAATAATGAAAATATTGTAAATAAATTTGTATTTCAGAACAGTATTTACATATAACAGTTTAAATAAAATAAAAATGAGTATGCTGTGGTGATTCTTCTAGATAGAAATGATAATTCTTATATTGATCTATCATTATTTAATCCGAAGGAGTATGTTAAATAAAAAAAAGTCGTTAATATCTATGAACTTACATTCTTTGAATCCTGCGATAAAACCACGTTTCTTTTCGATCACTGGAGGAGGTTTTTGAACAGATGGGAGGTTTAAATAAGAACGAACAAGCGGTTGACGCATAATTATTGATTGTAGAAGAGAAACTATGTTGCTAACAGTCCAATACCATACCAAAGCCTGTTGGAATAAAAGAAAGTATAATATATTTTTAAAAATAAAATAATAGAACTGAGAAGTATTTACTGACTGGGATACCTTTTTGCAATATGTATTTGAATAGGATATCTTAATTAAATTCATCTGAATAACTAATGGTACTTAAAAATTATAACAATTGTATTAGTTATATTGACGTTTTAAATTTTTTATCGACTTGACATTTCATGTACATTATTTGCGTATGTTGTTTTCATAAATGTTTTAAACTTCTGCAGTTGGTTCCAACTAGCCCTTTATCCACTTTACTTATATCTATCCTTACAGAAAGTCTTGATCAGTATTTACTAAACTAACTGGAAATAATTTTGATATCAAGAGGCTATATGCATATGAAATAAGCAGGATCCTAGGACTTGGGACCTAATACTAGTTATTTCTAATGTACTTACAAATGTCCAAATTAGAAAAGGTACATAAAAATTGATTTTCATTAGCAATAACTACTAGTCACACATTTGTTTGTAGGATACTGAAATAATTTGTTTGTTTGTGATTATATATAGTAAATTGTTGAATTATTATTGGTTAATATAACTCGACAACTTATACATAAAGTGGTGTATCCATAATTCAGTTTGGTTTATTTTGAGAGTCAAATAAATCCTTATCACCAGTCTTTGACTAGTGCACCACGCACCTTTTATCTTGTGCTTAAGTTACCATGCTAATTTGTTTGGGGGTTTAGAACATGGGATTGAGAGCTCGAATAGCAGACCTATCAAGAGTAATTGACCTAATTATAAGATTAACAGTAAGCTGAACATTATAATAATAACGAGCGGTTAACTTTGAAGATTAGAACATTCAAACAGATACTGACATCTGAAATGAATACCTTACCGATGGCATGTTCATTACGAAAAAGAAACCAACAACCGGTAACCCTTTTGAAAGAACACGCATAGCAGGTTGTGCCTGACTCGAACGTAATTCAGCGCCAGTCTAATGAAATAAATATTTTATTTAGGAAGTCCGATGTAATTTAGAAGCATTAAATATTTAATGTATGAAAAAACGAAAATTAAACTGAATCTTTACCTTTTGCTCACTCACTAATACGTAAACACCCAAACTGTATTTTTCTATGGGTATTTGACCCGAAAATAAATATATACTTTGTGCATAAAATTAGACTACCGTCTTAGGTTTTACATAGCAAGTTAGCGATTAAAAATATATACTTGATAATTAGAGTATTAAATGCAATTATATAATTACCGATCTCCAAAGTACCTTTAAGTTATAGACTTACTGTAGTTAGCCATTTGCTCTAGTGAATCTCACCATTTGATGTCATTAATTCGGTTCATTGTATTATCAAACCAAAACGTTTATCAAGTGATTTTTAAAATCGTCTTCGGTATAAACTGCTTTACAGAGGTTGAAAGTTATGAGTTAAAGATGAAAATTCAACTTGACTAATTGGTAATATGCTGTGATCAGTGGTTTCCAGATCATTTAAGTTGATGACAAGAAACAGTCATGTAAGATCGATTGATTTAGCATAGTTTAACAACATTTCCAGTAAGTGAAAGACAAATTATATGTTTGACCGATTTGCTTGTTCTACCTGTCAGTCACTAGAACAGCTTCCTAAAGAATAAATACAACGGATTCATGGACCGTCTTATATTAAGTCTCACTAGTTTTGATCACTCAAGATATATTCATGATGAATAAAACTCAAAAGCATGTCCAACATATGATCTTTATAGGGATTTGATTTGATTATATTAGGTCCAAACCACAAGAGAGTAATAAGATATATATATTGACAATACGGTTGACTATCGCATACGATGACCATTCGATAACATGGATCCAAATAATTTAAGCAGCAAAGATCTAAAAAGCTTTATGTCAAGTGAGCCAAACAACTTTGTTAAAACACACGAGGTTTGAGTTGATGTGTATTGGTTGATAAGAAAACAAGTAATCTTTATGGAAAAATATTTGCTTAACTTATAATACTTAACAATGATTGAGGTATGTATATAACCAAATGTGATATTGTGTAAAAAATGATTAACAAATATATAATACATGGATTTCATATATAGACTACTGACTAGTAATTCTTATTATGCAGAGGTCTATCTTTTGCATAGAGATATTCTGAAGAACTTTGGTAATATTTTAGAAATAGTGTATCGCAGTAACATAAAACTGTAACTTTAGCGGAAGAATTATCTCAATCAATAAATCGATTTGAATGTACCATGACATTGATATGTTCAGACCTACTACGATTATTATTGTACTAAAAATATTCTGCTCTATTTCCTTCATACTACATAAACTTATTTCAGTTATTTGTTAATTTACTCTGAATAAGTGACTTACATTAAGTCGTGAAACGTCAGAAATGCCGATTCCCACTTATTGGGATATTACAAAATTATGACTATTTTATAATCTTTTCTCTATTTCTGATTCGATGTAAATCGTGTTCGTCAGATCAACAAAGGAAATATTTAGAAAGATGAAAAGTGAAGTATAATGATACTTTTACCTCAAATGTCAGCAGGAGTAAACTCATGGAGAGAAATGGTAAGATGAAATAGGGATCGGATGCTGTTAAGTCAGTAAACCAAGCAGTACCACCAGTCTGCAAGCTAGTTACTGGCAGATTGACCAAACCTCGAATTCCTGTGAAAACAGAAAGGGAAATCGGGGCCTAGGAGAGTAAAAGATAAAACATCATTCGAGAAAATAAAATACAATCGGTAAAATATAGTTAAATTACACTGAAATCGAGTCTCAATTAAATTAATTGTACTGTTCATTGTAGATGTTAAGCAACAACACAGGCACGTGCACGACAAACAGCAATTAGTTATCAGAAATTTATGTAATCTTATTAAGCCAACCAACTACTTTGTGAGTAAATGAAAGCATTATATTATCAGTGGTAAGAAAGATCAAAGCAATCATCATATCATAAATTTTTGTGTACAGAAAAATATGTAATCAATTAAACCATATAAGATTAAATGATGCACCGAAGGAAGAACTATACCCAAGATTGAAAACTAACACTAATGAAACTGGTAATACTGAACTTTACATAGAACATAAAAACAGTCAACATTGAGGAGAACACTACGATTGATTGATCAATTAGTAGTTACCGGTTTTATATTCAACCGGCTTTTTAGCAATCATTGAATTCAATCCACCAAAATATAATGTGGCCAATAGTTTGCAACGGTAAATAAATCCCTGAAATAAACAGCTCTGGAAGTCTTCAACATTTGATGCTGAATATATTAGTTTTACTAGTCTCACCTAGCTGAAGGCGCTCGGTCACACATCCACACCAGATCACGATTAGGGACACTGTGTTCAGCTTCCCCTACAACTGCTAACCAGTTTAGATCGGACAATTCTAGGTATATTGATAACCTATCAAATATATCTTCAAATTTCTTAGCTTCTGACTTCACTGGGTGGGCAAGATTGGATTATAGGTGATACTGACTAAGATGTTATTAAACTCTAATTACTTGTGGCATCTTCAAATCTAGGGTCAGTCAGCAGGTCTTGTGCTAGTTGGTACTAGTCGGTAAGGTGTATTTGCAATCTTGAGGGGATTATTAAAGTTTGTACAATTCGAACCGTCCCCAACCTAAGTGCTAATATCCCATAATTTGAAGCCGATTCGAACTCACCAGAAAATATCAGTCCAATCGAAATTGCATGTACGGCTGAAAATCAGTGCCAATCATTAAGAAACCGAACAGAACAGAAGGAAGAAAATAAATATGAGTGAAGTGGGAAATGTAATAATAAGAAAGATCTTCATTTGCCTTCTGCATCAATTTGATTGCCACTTTTCTCCTTTACACCTGCATTTGTGCTTCCCTTTTATTTTTACAAGTATGCATCATGATTAGATCATATCACCTGAGGTTCCCAACAATCGGTTGAAGTTGTTCCAGGAAGTGTGCATCTCACATGACATGAATAAACATTTATTAGTTCCATGTACCGATGATAAGACCTGACCTCAGCACCGCTACCCTTTTTGATCTGTCACTAAGCCGTGTAACATAGCGCCGTTAACTGTACAGGAGTAACGTATTTTACGACACATTCAGATACCTAGGGTTGATGTCTTCGTCTTCCGACTTGTCTACTACTCTGTGTTTGACTCTAGCACTGCTACTCAGTGGCTCCATAAGAGGCGACAAAAGTCTCAAAACAAATAATCAAATGCTTACTACCAACTCATTTGATCAACTTCTTAACATTTTCATTTACTGTTGTAAAACCACCCAAGGTGCAAAAATACGGAGTAAACTCGCCTTTCCAATTCCAAAGCCAGGTCTCATCTGTGCAGCAATTGGAATAAGACAGTAATATCCAAGCGTACAAAACCAGCGTTTCTTTCCGTCAATGACCATCATCTCATAACCAAAATTGGGTTTTTCTCCGGGTCCTTAAGTAACATGACCTCTACATTGTCTAAAACGCTCTCTTGTTTGTAAAACAGTCGGTGAACGATAGCTAACTCAGAAACAGATTTTGTGCGATTCCCATGGTGTCATTGAGACGTAACATGCATAAAGCAGAAGGGTAGAAAGAAATATCAATATTGAGGTATCACACTGTCCATAACCTACTTCAAACTAATAAGCTACTTCTAAAGTTTAGTGCAACACTGAAAATGAAGCGACATGATCTCATCAATGGATACGAAGAAGTACTCAAGGAAACAAATGTCCTATTGAGTTATTTTATAAAAGTTACCTCTTCTGGTTACTTTCTACTCTGAAATTGATGCTACACAGTTGTCTAACATCTCTTAGTGCATTTCGGCTCGCTGGTTAGAGTCACTATCATGTATGGTAAAGTAAGAGCTTTCCCCCCTTCCTACCAGAAGAGACCTACATAACAAATCAGGCTATCAAATTGAACAACTGTCTCAGGAAAGTAACGTATTTTGTTCATTCTGCACTTAAATTTATCACAAGTCAACTCCATATCATACGTTAAAATATAGACTGCTAAAATGCCTGGTTCAATCTTGATCGAATGATGATGTTAAAGGTGCAAAAATCATTACACATTATCATTAAACTAGTTGTCTGAGTCCTAAAGTCGAACGACAATCATACGGACGACTGTGGACACACAAATTATACTGTGATCCTTTAATAAAATAAAACTGCTTTAAAGCAATTAGTCCCTTTTATAAATTTCGATAATGTAATAAGAAGACGGAGATTATCAAAATACAGAAGACAACTAGGAGCAACATGATTCAACACAATCTACCAGACAATAAAGAATTAATCAAAGGTAAAAAATATTATAAGACAGTCAAACAGTTGTGACTACTGAATGTGAGGCTAGTTGCCTATAGTTATGAAAGAGACTAAATTCACGATATTTAAAAAACTCACTTGAAGAAGCACATATTTAAAGGCACTTAATGGATTCAAATTATTGTTCTTCATGAGCTGTTTCATCTTCTCAGAAGTACGCATCACTAAAAATTACAAAACATTGTTATACATTGTTGCATTATACAGCACGTGATAACAACAAGTAGTATATACTGCAAATCTGACAAAAAGTAGTGAAAGTAGGTGTTTACAATTATTTTTGTACAGTCAAGATGATGTTTTTTACCTGACAAACAGACAACTGTTTCATTGGTTTTTCTCATGTAGACGTTCACATGCAAAACTCAGTACTAGGACGTCTGTTACACACCTTTTGACCGAAAGGTCGAATGGGACAATGACTGTTGGCTTTTGTTTGTAAATGGTGGTCATGTTATCCTAACAATGAAATGGGTTACAGTTAGAATGGAGATTATTAGTGCTCATATGGGAATCGAATTTCATGGGTTCTACTCTTAGAAATTTTGCCGATCAGATTTTATATGCAATAATATAAAATCGTTTGCATATGTATGATTGACCAAATGGTCTAAATAAGCTTTTTAGAACAAATGTTGTGGTTCTGTATAAACCTTGAATATCGATGTTGGGTATCCGTTCATAGAGGGAGTTATTTACGTGGTTAATTAATGTTAAGAAGCACGGCCCACTGTATTCAGCATTGTATAAATAAAAACCTATTTCTGATCGCACCAACCACCGATACAGGCGTCAGTAATGTGCTACCAGGCGGTTGTAGGGTGGCAAGAATTTTGAAGCATCAAATCCATCTGGTAACCTCTGGAAATTATATCAACTTATTCGAGCCCCATGTCATTGAAAAAGTATGTAATCTTGATATTAAGTCAATTATTAACCTTCGAAAGAATCTAGGATGAGCGGAAAGAGCGTCTTGTGGAAGAAATATAACGTTGTTTAAAAAACTCAGATCAGTACAAAATCGAAATACTGAGTTTGCGACTCAGTGTAAGTCGCTTCTTTGGTCAAACTGTTAAGTGTTCTTTGACTGATGAATAATAACGAACTGGATACAGTAGATTTTCGTAAGGAACTCCATTTACTGAGGCGTCATATGCATGCATAAGCAACTTAGCTTCGGGTCTTTTTCAGGGTGGAGGCGAAATTTAAACTGGACTGTATTGAAATTACGAACCAACTAAAATTTTCGTTGCGTGACGGCTCGATACCATACAGTTTAGCTGTTTTGGTCACGGTTTCTTACTAGAACTCTAAACATTTTCTGTCAGAGTTAGTCACCAGTGAGCACGTGATAATTGTCTGCGCAGGGTTGTGGAGATTGTTGAATTTCATGGAAATCATGAACCGAAGGCTACCGGAGTTGGTCGCGCAATATTGTGGATTGATTAAAGTTAGACATTATCACTGTTCAGTGGTACATAGGCTAGGTATTCACGTGAAACTAAAGGACCTGATTTTGGTTCCTGAATGCAAAGTCGTAGAAGCACACTGCTGAATGGCCCCACAATAGGACGAAGCGGTTGTTCAGTACCTTCAGTTTTTCAGTGGCGATCTGGCTTAGATGAGTTCATGAATTCGATGAAATTCAACGGCCTTCATAACGCCATAATAAATTAATTGTTTTGGAAGATTTGGGACGCGTGGTGTACAATCGTCGTGAAATGAAGCGATTGTCGTACCTAACTTTAAAATACCTTATGTAAATTATGAGACAATAATGGGGGTATATTTCTGTTTCCGATTGCTTCTAAAGTGTTAATTCACAACATATCTCGCAAATTGTGTAAAACTACCAAAAGAGAGATTACATAGGGATTGCAAATACTATTTCTATCACTTCATTTTACGTCGTACTAAGTACACGTTGGAGACGCGAGGTCTGGAAACTGGAATCAGGCTAACAGACGTCTGGTAATATTAAATATACGGTTTGCTGAGAGCTTTCTCTAACCCATCCTTCATACAATAGATAGTAAATATCAGTAAAAAAATACGTCGATGGTGGAAAACTTGATGGAATACATTATATTCTGATAAAACGAATAACATAAATTCACACTTAGATATCAATCCTATACATTTTATACACTGTTATATCTAAAGCTTATATTCTTACCATATCGCGTACTACTTGAGCACTTTGACGCTAGAACCCTTCAAGCTGCAAGTTAGAAGACGGGTGTGAAGAGATGTTAGTCTAAACAGTGTCAAATATGGTACAAAACTCCCAAGTAATTATAGTTTTTTTTTTAGTAAAAACGAAATCATCATTACAGTCATCTAATCCGCGTACAGTGGTTTTTGGCATTTGTCCAATTGGGAAGCTACACGTCAAGATTCTGAAATGTTATTCCAAAAGATGATTGAATAGGATGTTTTTAGCTCTTTCCGAGCTTCTTGGAGCTAGCTTCTTTGAGTTCACCCGGGGGTTGTCTACACATATCCCCTCTTTGAAGTTTCTTGCGTAAGACTTAAAGCTCAGGTTCTTTGCGGCTTCTATACAGGACCAATAGTTACGACACTTTTGTTCTATATCACTGTCCATTAACAGCCAGCATGTGTATCTCTGGACTAGTGACTTCATTTTACTAATTACCAGGTGCTCGCTATGGAATTATTTAAGGATTTGATGTCGCTGAATTCTAAGGATAACGGTCCGGTAGCTAAGCATGATGCACGAATCGACAATTGTCAAGGAGTCTCACCGACGGAAGTAATATAAAAGCTCCTTGTGGAGTCGAGGGGAAGGCCACTTGTTGAGTATAAAACAGCGAATGATCTTCGACGTATTGTCCCCATCGCTAGCCCCTTCAATGGCTTCGAATGTGAGTGGCAGTCCGGAAACTGCGTCTGTCAACACTGCGAACTTCGGTCTTAGCTTCTACGGTAGCTACAAGCACATCTTGTTTCGAATAGAAGCCAATTAATATTGAGAGGACATCTGCCTGTCCGAAATCCGTTGTCGGTTGATAATTTATCTTGAAATCGCACCCCAGAAGTGTGGTTGCCCATCGTTGTAGACGGTTTGTCGTATAAACAGGAATAGCCTTCTTTGATCCAAAAACAGCCAGTAGTGGTTTGTGGTCTGTTAGTAACGTAAACTGTCTGTGTTATATTTAGAAGGTTGTTTTCTTGATATGCCACGTATAACTTCAGAACTAGGACGCCAAAACCCTTCCAAGTCGCAATAAGAAGACAGAAGACTAATGAAAGGAATATTATTCCAGACAGTGTCAATTACAGTACAAAATTGCCAGGTATTTTTAGTTTTTAGTAAGAACGATATTATAATTACAGTCCTCCAATCCGCATACAAGGGGTTATTAGCAGGAATTCTAGAATATTCGCCCGAAGGGTGATTGGATGGAATATCTTCGGCTCCTTCTGAGCCTCTTATAGCTTCCTCGAGTTCATCCGTGGTCCGTCGTCACCTCCCCTTTAAAGTCTGTTGTGTAAGAATTTTTTCTCGGATCCACCTGAAACTTGGTCGCCGCATTCCTCTTGTGGTCCATCACTCTCGAGGGTTGTACAGCTTTGTCCTTGCGTCGTTTATCTCTTCTATGTTTGCACTCCTGAGGACTTTTCTGAGATGAATCCACGAGCAATTGAAATGGGAGTCGGCTTTCCGGGACCACTGTAGTGCCGTCTCTTTGCATTTGATTTATGTGTCTTATACATTTTCCGACACCTTTCCGGACTAGGCACAGTACATTTCCGATTCGACGTTCTATGACGCCTGGTTCCAACTTCCTATTACCTTGATACGATTTGACAAGTACCCTCTCATCCACGTGGAAGCTACGAGTGACAGTACGATACTCAATCGTGAGTTTATTTGTCTTTCTGGGCGGCAACATACTGTTAAAGACTGTCCGGATTTTCCTTCCGAACATACACTCGGCTGGTGACTTTCCTCCTGGTACTGCCGGACTAGGGGTAACTCTGTAAGACATTAGGAACGTACTGATCACTTGTTCTGGGATACCCTCACCTCCCCCTATGACCAGAGCTCTTTTTATCGTATCCACGAATCTTCCTGCTCGGCCATTCGACTGAGGATGGTACGGAGGAGATTGTAGATGCGATATGCCATTTTCACTGCAAAAGTGTTTGAAAGCGGATGACATAAACTGAGTGCCGTTGTCGTTCACTAAGATCTCTGGAACCCCGAAAAAAAGCAAACAATCCTGACAATCTTCTTATTGTGCTCTCTGATGTCGTTTTCGGCATGTCATATACTTCTGGTCATTTTGTGAAAGCATCAACAACAACTAAGCAATTTCTGCCTTATATTGATCCGGCGAAATCACCGTGTATTCTTTGCCGAGGCCCGTCCGGTTTTGGCCATGGTTGTGGTTCAGCTTTCGATGGATTCTTTGCAGCCTCTAGTCAGGACCAACAACTGTGAAATTTTTGTTCTATATCATGGTCCATTGACGGCCAGTATGCATAGCTGCGAGCTGGTGATTTCATTTTACTTATCCCCGGGTGCCTGCTGTGGAACTGCTTAATGACTTGGTGTCGAAGATTTCTGTGGATAACGATACGGTAGCCAAACACGATGCACGAATCGACAACCGTTAAGGAATCTCGTCGACAAAAATATTGTAAGAGTTCTCCATGTAGTCTAGATGAAGGCCACTTGTTGAGTATGCAGTGGCGAACAATCTTCAATGCATTATCCTTCTTGCTAGCTTCTTTAATGGCTTCGAACGTGACCAGGAGTCCGGAAACTGCGTCTGTCAATACTTTGTGAAGTTCAGCCTCAACATCTATGGCAGCTACACTCACCTCCTCTTCTTGTTTGCTGTATATACAGGGATACCGTTTTTGGATTCAAAAACTGTCAGTAAAGGTTTATGGTCTGTTAGTAAGGTGAACTGTCTGCCAAACAGCATCTTGTGAAACTTTTTTACAGCGAATATAATGGAGAGGGCTTCTTTCTCAGTCTGACTGTAGTTCTTTCCAATCATAGTCAGCGATCTTGCAGCGTGGGCGATTGTCTTCTCAGATCCGTCAGGGTAGGTATGTGAAATTACTGCTACGATTCCGTAGTTTGACGCATCTGCTGAGACTATAATTAGGAGGTCTGGATCAAAGTGCGTAAGTAGAAGATTTAAAGATAGCTGCTTTAGTTTAAAGAATGCTTCTGAATATTCTGTTGCCCAGATCCATTAGGTATTCTTTGTTAGCAAATAATTGATTGAGGTACGCACACGATGAAGATCAGAAAGAAAAATTCCGTAATGACTAACCAATCCCAAGAAAAACTGCAGAGTAGGGATATCCCCAGGTCTAAGCATGGTTTTTATAGTTTCGATATTCTATGGGTCTGGTCGTCTTCCATCTTTATCTATTATGAAACTAAGGTATCGTACATGCTGCATACACAAATCACACTTTTCAGCGCGAAGTCGAGAACTACATTCAGCCATGCGCGCTAGCACCTGGTCAAAAATTGTTCACAAGTCCATTTTGTCTGTTCTCCTGATTTTGGTATCGTCCAAATAAGACGCCGCTCCTGGAATGCCTTGTAACATAGTATCGAAAATTTGCTGGAAAATAGAGTGCCATCTTAACTTCAAAGGACAGTCGGTTATATCGGAACAACCCCTTATATGTGTTGATCGTTAGATCTTCGCTTTCATCAGCTACATGGATTTGCAAATAGGGGTCTGGTAACTCCAACTTTGCAAAATACTTGCCATCGTTTAGCTTAGCGAAGACATCTTCAGGTTAAGGTATAAGATACTGGTGAGCCTCTAACGCTTCATTTAGTCCAGCGGAGTAATCTACACATAAACGAACGTCGCTGTTGGATTTCTTGAACACCACTATTGGTACATCCCGAGCCGAGTTCACAGGTTTAATAACTCCCATTTTTTGGATCCGTACTAGTTTATGATCAACTACTGGGAGGGGAGCACAAGGCACAGGTCTTTGAGACCGATAAACGGGAGTAGGTCCAAGTCTGAGGGTTAGTGATGCTTTAGCTTTCGTGCATTCTTCCGAACCTTCTATAAACATGTGGCCATGTCTTTAAAACACGGCATTCTTTACTCACAAACTCCAGATAAAATATTTAGATCCACTGTACTTTGTCACTGCATTCGTACCTTGAGATAGTGTGTTTTGCCAATCGACCGGGCAACAGCAATCGGACTGCTGTTTGCTATTCTCGGCTTGAGATTGTCGACTTCTTGTTGTAGTGAGATAGCCGGCTGGCTTCTGAAGCAATGAGATCAAAGATATTGTTCACAAACGAGTTAATAATCGACAGTGACTTCGAAGAGATACCAGCTACAGGATGAACTTGAAGAACGGCTTTGTATATGTATATAGCATAACTCTTTCCTCCTCTTCCTCTTCTTCTTACCAACCTTCGTCAACTTAACCCTCGAGGCTTTTCTCGAGGCCTTACCAAACACAAATTTCGGAGGCATTACTCTATAGGCGAACGCGTGTATAGCACTTCTTTCCAACTAAACGTCTTTCCGTCCTAAGATGTAAAGAAATAAATATTAGATACAGTACACTTCGAGTGGGCCTTTGTGACATTAAAGTTTCCATTATAACATAGGCAGTTGGTTGAAAAAAATATATAAATCAATCAAAATGGTGTTAGTGAAACTTGCTTTCAATATAGTTTCCAGAGAGTCTAGCACGCGTCAAACTTTCCTGTAGGATAGCGATTTGAGGCATCATATTTGTATATTCAGCCAAATGACGTCGCTGACGCACCATGACGGGAAACACACAAATACGAATTAAAACAGTTGCTAGAAAAGAGACAAAACAGCGTAACACATATATCCTCATTAGACCTTAAACCAACTAATGATTTATGTGAAGAAGTTTGTGGTGCACTCGAAGCATGGGAAGTGGTAGGTCCCAACAGTACTGAGTAAATGATGGGGAAAATATGTTGTTATAACAATTTAATTATTAAATACAGTAATGAAATCAATAACGGTCCTCTACCTTGATGTCGACAAAAGATACTGACTGTATTAAGTTTCTCCCAAACTATGAACACGTAGTAGCAGGTGATTCTTACGTTAAATTTAGCAAATCTAACACATGAAGCAATGAGAGCCATTGTTGGCACAGTATTACAATTGTCGGAAGTATGCTTCAAGATAAGATTTACTCGCTATGACAGAAAATATTTTTATCTTGAAACACGCAATTTCTTTCACAATTATCTGACAAATGTGATTAGTTCATGCAGTAAAGGTTTTTCGGATTTACTATGTTAAATGGATATTCATGAACGTACTACATACTCAAAACATAAAAACTATAAATTGCAACTTACAAGCCGCAATAGCGCCCCACCAGGGTAAATCTAAGTGAACATGTAGAGTCTCCAACAAGCATTGATACCAACCCGAAGGCCAATAGCTATTCAAACCGAGAGAGGAAAGAGTTGGTTCACCCAAAGTATTCAAAAAGACTTCTTTGTTAGGTGGCAACGGAGGCTCAGGAAGGACACAATCAGAAGGAGCTGATAGGTAAACGTTAGTAGAGAGTTCTCTCGTTATCGAAGGAACAGAAATTGTCTTCTGACTGAAGACTGTCTCTGAAAACATTTTGGTTATTTTACTTAGCCGAATCATGTCCTTGAGATTTATAAATGTTACTAACAGAAAATTAATGATCGGAGGCGAATCACCATTGAAGAAAACAACGAAAAGCGACCTAAAGCACGAGAGGAGAAAAACAAGCCGCAATAATAACACAGTAAAGGAAAATGAAAGAGTTGCAGCTGTACATGCAAGTTTTAAGCTGATGATTTCTATATGTACATTATTATTCTCCATTCTAACTGTAACCCATTTCATTGTTAGGATAACATGACCACCATTTACAAACAAAAGCCAACAGTCATTGTCCCATTCGACCTTTCGGTCAAAAGGTGTGTAACAGACGTCCTAGTACTGAGTTTTGCATGTGAACGTCTACATGAGAAAAACCAATGAAACAGTTGTCTGTTTGTCAGGTAAAAAACATCATCTTGACTGTACAAAAATAATTGTAAACACCTACTTTCACTACTTTTTGTCAGATTTGCAGTATATACTACTTGTTGTTATCACGTGCTGTATAATGCAACAATGTATAACAATGTTTTGTAATTTTTAGTGATGCGTACTTCTGAGAAGATGAAACAGCTCATGAAGAACAATAATTTGAATCCATTAAGTGCCTTTAAATATGTGCTTCTTCAAGTGAGTTTTTTAAATATCGTGAATTTAGTCTCTTTCATAACTATAGGCAACTAGCCTCACATTCAGTAGTCACAACTGTTTGACTGTCTTATAATATTTTTTACCTTTGATTAATTCTTTATTGTCTGGTAGATTGTGTTGAATCATGTTGCTCCTAGTTGTCTTCTGTATTTTGATAATCTCCGTCTTCTTATTACATTATCGAAATTTATAAAAGGGACTAATTGCTTTAAAGCAGTTTTATTTTATTAAAGGATCACAGTATAATTTGTGTGTCCGCAGTCGTCCGTATGATTGTCGTTCGACTTTAGGACTCAGACAACTAGTTTAATGATAATGTGTAATGATTTTTGCACCTTTAACATCATCATTCGATCAAGATTGAACCAGGCATTTTAGCAGTCTATATTTTAACGTATGATATGGAGTTGACTTGTGATAAATTTAAGTGCAGAATGAACAAAATACGTTACTTTCCTGAGACAGTTGTTCAATTTGATAGCCTGATTTGTTATGTAGGTCTCTTCTGGTAGGAAGGGGGGAAAGCTCTTACTTTACCATACATGATAGTGACTCTAACCAGCGAGCCGAAATGCACTAAGAGATGTTAGACAACTGTGTAGCATCAATTTCAGAGTAGAAAGTAACCAGAAGAGGTAACTTTTATAAAATAACTCAATAGGACATTTGTTTCCTTGAGTACTTCTTCGTATCCATTGATGAGATCATGTCGCTTCATTTTCAGTGTTGCACTAAACTTTAGAAGTAGCTTATTAGTTTGAAGTAGGTTATGGACAGTGTGATACCTCAATATTGATATTTCTTTCTACCCTTCTGCTTTATGCATGTTACGTCTCAATGACACCATGGGAATCGCACAAAATCTGTTTCTGAGTTAGCTATCGTTCACCGACTGTTTTACAAACAAGAGAGCGTTTTAGACAATGTAGAGGTCATGTTACTTAAGGACCCGGAGAAAAACCCAATTTTGGTTATGAGATGATGGTCATTGACGGAAAGAAACGCTGGTTTTGTACGCTTGGATATTACTGTCTTATTCCAATTGCTGCACAGATGAGACCTGGCTTTGGAATTGGAAAGGCGAGTTTACTCCGTATTTTTGCACCTTGGGTGGTTTTACAACAGTAAATGAAAATGTTAAGAAGTTGATCAAATGAGTTGGTAGTAAGCATTTGATTATTTGTTTTGAGACTTTTGTCGCCTCTTATGGAGCCACTGAGTAGCAGTGCTAGAGTCAAACACAGAGTAGTAGACAAGTCGGAAGACGAAGACATCAACCCTAGGTATCTGAATGTGTCGTAAAATACGTTACTCCTGTACAGTTAACGGCGCTATGTTACACGGCTTAGTGACAGATCAAAAAGGGTAGCGGTGCTGAGGTCAGGTCTTATCATCGGTACATGGAACTAATAAATGTTTATTCATGTCATGTGAGATGCACACTTCCTGGAACAACTTCAACCGATTGTTGGGAACCTCAGGTGATATGATCTAATCATGATGCATACTTGTAAAAATAAAAGGGAAGCACAAATGCAGGTGTAAAGGAGACAAGTGGCAATCAAATTGATGCAGAAGGCAAATGAAGATCTTTCTTATTATTACATTTCCCACTTCACTCATGTTAATTCTTTCCTTCTTGTTGGTTTGTGTTCCTTATTGCAATCTTTATTTGCCTTCTTTTTCAACCGAAATCCTGGAATTATCCAACTCAACTTTGATGCTTGGTTGCTTTATGACGAGTTCTAGACGAGAAACACTAAAATTGTAGTCTGAACTTATAGCACGTTAACGAATTCGGCGTTTCTGACCGTGGTGTATATAGAATATACTTCGCACATCCGTTTGTCTACCTCAAAGTCTTAAGTTTTTTTCAGGTTATTTGAGCCATATTTCACTAAACATACGCCTAAGTACATTATTCAAAGATCATTCACTCAAAAATAGTTTAGGATGTACGAAATTATCTAAGGATAGAGGAAACAGGTTTCAAAATATTCATAAATTTAACAAAACAACAAACATATAATACCAGGTGCTCACGCGTCCTTGACTTCAAACTTTGTACAGCAACTACTGTGCAGAAAAAACAAACTAACAATGTCGTCACTTACCGTGAAACAGATAGAAGTTATTCACTTGAAAACTGAAAAATAGGCGAAAAACATGTAATTAAACATTCAAGTTATCACTTCGTGTGTGTTCAATAATATTCGTATTCATTAATCCATCTTTTTCGGAAGGATTTAGGATGCTGTGGTCGAGAGGATTTCATAATTTCGAGCTTGCTTTTGCATGATTAGTGAGTAGAGCACTGTCATATTTTTGACTTATACACAAATCATTGGCCCTGGATAGCTAGTATCCGATATTTTTACACAAAGATTCTAGCGAAGTTAGCAACCCGAGAAGCGTTATTTCACTTGGCTTTCAAGTTGAACAGGAAGCACTTTCCACGCTTGAGTAAGTAACTTTGTTTTTACAGACTGCTAATATTTATTCTCAATGTAATTTATATAATGTATTTTAACCACCCTTCTCCTAGTTACTATCCAGGCATTGTGGCAAACTGTCAAGTGTTTTGGGGTAGTCTTCAGTAAACGCTTGACTTAGGTTTCTTGATGGTTGGCACTGATTATCAGCCGTACCTGCAATTTAGATGGGACTGATATTCCCTGGTGAGTTCGGACCCACTTCACATTATGGGATGTTAGCACTAAGCCATTCGGTTCACACGTGGTATGTTTTATGGAGTAAAATTACGTGTAGAAATATGTGGCAACTACTACAAGTCTCACGAACCATATTGATTTTTCAAATGCTTGTCAGTGTAAAAGTTAGCCAAAGAGGGTTAAGTCTCAGAAAATATAATGTGAGTCCTTGTAGAAAGCATACATTTTTCATGATTGGTTAACCACTATTTTGGTTGAAATGAAACACAACAATGTAGTTAAAAAATAGTTGTGTGTTCACATAAATGTGTTATTCCCTAATGACATGCTGAATGTTGAATCGTATATATTTGTCATTTTGAGCAATAAACAGGAAGCATAGTATTCACTACGTTGAATGTACATCTGTTAACAGAATTATATGAAACCGTTTCTTCCGTCTGCGGCCAATAATTCAGCCTGTGAATTGGTAGGGTGTAAGGTGAGCTATGACAAGTAAGTTAGCGGGCTACTGTTAGCATCTGCCATTATACGCGTTGCACATGCAACAAATAAGAATAAAATAGTTGATTGACTCGATTTGCCGTGGCCCTCAGTCTATATGATGGTGATGGTTCTCGCGAATTCCTTAGGTTCCATCATCAGGGCGAGAAATAATTGTCGGGTTGTTGGGGCTAGATGTTACGAGCAGGCAAACAAATACAGCTGACAGGGAGAAGCACATGAGTTTGTACAGTGGCTCAACATATTCCGTATATATTTGTCTATTTTGTTTTCATTTCTCATCATAATTGACTTGAAACTCTCCAGCTTTCCTTAGCGCCACCACTCCTGTCCGTTTACTTTTTCTGGATTTTCGGGCAATCAGACATACATTATTCCCGAAAATCCTGGAAGTTGACCAGGTTTCTTGTTGTTTCATCACATTTGAATTAGTCGTGCTTTTGTGATCAAGTATCGAATGTTCGGGGGTTATCTTGTCAGTCTGAAGGTTGACAGTGGAATGACAAATGACACTTCAAAATGAATAATTTTAAAAACACACAAGTAGAGTAAAGACCGCAACGGTTTTAATGATTGCTATAAACCAAGAGTTCAGTTAGGTCTAAGCTGTAGGGGCTTACATACATACATGCGCTTACACTTGTACATAAAATGTTTCAACATACAGTATATGATAGTACGAAATATAATGCCAATGCGAAATTAGGAAGTGAATGAATACTTGAGCTCTATTATTTTAACGCATACTTAGTTGTGTGAGGTCAACTCTTTACTAATGAACCTAAGTTGTTACATTAGCTTCTACCTAGAATTGACTTTCGTGGGGACGTCAGATCGATCAACCTATCTATCAAGAACATCTCCGTTTTGTTTTCACAATCCATGGCAGAATTACTAGCTCGTTCAGTGTCTGATTTTCGATTAATAACGACCAACTTCGTCAACATTCTACGGTACTCCTTGGTTGTCTCTTCCTTTGTCAGGATGTTATCTTATTATCTTGTAGCATATGATTTCTTCCACAACTATGGCTGATGATTTGTTGCCTGTTCTCTGTATGGTGATCAAAGCTTGTAATTGAAAGGAGAGTTAGGAAATGAAACAAAAATATCTAAGGAAGTGCTGTGAGAGGGCTAATGAACACCATGTTGGTAAGGTACGATTTTCCCATGCTCTGTCCGGCTCTCAAGTGTTTACTCACTTACCTCATACGTCGCTCTCAAGTAAAAAATAAAGAAAAAACAATGATGAAAATCAGTCAAACCTGAAGGACTGCTCCACTGCTTGTTACAAAAATAATAGGGTGCAAAAAGGAACTGCACAAATATAACTGATATTTGTTCGGTTCCACGTAAGTGTTTGGTCTTCAGAGCGGATTGTTTGTCTGGAAGGAAATAGACACAATATGGACATCTTGTGTACTGAAAGTTATGAAGAGAAAAAGAATACTCTTTTAAAACGCACATATGTTTAAATTTTCCAGAAGTCAGACACTTCACCAAACTCGATCAAATGTATGACCTTGAGCCTTTAGAATTACGGTCTATTATGATATTAGCACTGCTCTAATAATAGACCTAATCTTAAAATTGTAGATTTATCATGATGTAACTGCCTAATCTATAAGATCTTACGTGGAAATTACATCGTCGTCTACATCAACTCATTGCACTGTAACAATTACCAATACTTGATAGAGAACAAGCTTAGGCTAGAGATAGAATATATTTAATATGAATAAAAGATACAACATAACATTCAGCTGGGACCACGCCTGCAAGGCCGAGTCATGCCACCTGACCAACTCCTTTATTCAGTTCGTTATTCCCGCCTTCTCCATTGTTGGGTATTCCTCCGCGTTAAATATTGAATATCTATTTTCCGAGTAGTCTCGTGTTCAGCTTTAAGGATTGTGTGGTTATGATCCGATGCCACTACAAGCCCACGATAACCGCTTTTTATAGCTGGGTACATAAAGTACTCTCCGACGCGAAAAAGTATAATATACGGTTAAGGATAAAGAAATCACAAAGAGTACGATAATTCCCATCAAAAGAAATAATGAAAATCAGTCAAACTCGAAGAACTGCTTCACTGCCGGTACAGAATAGTAAGGCACAAAAAGAAAATACGGGTGAATTTATCCGCAACGCAATCATGTAAACTTAATGTATCGCCCAGAGACATCTGTGCGTTCAAGTAACCACAGATTTTGTCATTTCATAATGTATTTTTAATTAAACAACTAGATTATGTTGTTAATTTTGCTCTGGTTATAATTTTTATTCGCCACGTCTGACTGCGTTACACTGTACACTCATTGCACGCTGGAGTAATATCCCAAATCAAAGTGAGTTTAATCTCATAGTTGATTGTTTCCAGATAGACCCTTAGTGCATGTTGTTACTGAAGGAATGTTTGTAGTACTGTAAACTATGTTTTTATGAACAACTGACTGTTGTCTTCAGTCTGAAAGCAATATATATATCCTTTGTCTTCTGTTAGGTAAGTTCGACCGGCCTATATTTCGTGTTTTGGTTTTATCGGTTGAATTACGCCCAGTTAACTATTTGAGCAACATGTCTGTGCAAATAAAACAATAATTATGACACTTGCTTGATTTAGTATTCTTGGTTGTCGCATAATTCAGTTTAGTCGAAAGAATTATGGTATACTTAAGTATATTGCTTGAAGCCTGCAATGAAACAGATCAGTTTAGTAAGTAGAGCTGCCTGTTTCTAGTGTGTATCCTGATTCAAATCAGTCTGATTAGAAATAGGGGAAAATGCCTTTGGTACTGTTGCTGTCATACATTATTTGATAGCTTTAAGTACGCTTGGTGTTTATTTCTAGACAGTACATCTAACACTGTCCATGTTTCAAGGCCCCTGTCATTAAACGATTTCCCCAGAAACAACATCGGTAGCAGGATAGCTGTGTCTGAGCTTTTATTTGCCTGCAAAACAGCAGTATACAGTCTTAGACGAGGAGTGTTCTGTATTAAATAAATACTGCTGTCTGTGGACAAGTGATAAGAGTCTTTTTGACAACTGGAACTTTTAGTTTACCAGATACTAAATCAACTTGTATATCTTCCTGTAAAAACCGGATGCAGATGCATGGGAGCAAAATAATAAAAGCTGTGCTGTACTTCGAAAAGTTTTGTTAGCTGGCGTGATCTGATATTTATGAAGTCGAGGTAAAGCACAGCTGCATAAATTCTTTCCTTAGAAACATGTGATTTGTTTATTTACCTTTTCAACATTCTTAACTAAATCCATTACTATCTTTTATTTAGAATGTAAAAGTAATGGGCCGTCACGGATCTTACAAAGTCATTCAGATTTATAACTATGACCCTATGAAACTTAATGGGAGACCCAAGTAACAGCAGATTATTAAAAGCATATCGGATGTCCACTTTAGTCTCACAACCACTACCAGTGTTTTGGAGTTAATTTTTCTACCCTGTCGTTTGAAAAGAAACAACTACTGCAGCTTCAATTTATCAATGCTACAATGTAATTTGGAGCTTGGTGTAAATACTTGATTCATATTCGATTGTTAATTAAAGTTCCTGAATAAATCTATAGACTTGATGTTATTTCGTTTTATCTAGTTAATCGTTGTAAGAAACTGGTGAAACGTGAGTCCTTCAGCACCTAGTTGATATGCCGTAATTTCAATTTAAGACAGTTGAAACAGTTACACATCCCAAAAGTCCCTGCCTGTAATACAAAAGCACGAGAGAGAAGGAGAAAAACAAGCCGCTATATTAACACAGTAAAGGAAAATGAAAGAGTTGCAGCTGTACATGCAAGTTCTAAGCTGATGATTTCTATATGTACATTATTATTCTCCATTCTAACTGTAACACGTATATCCTCATTAG